TATAGTATCCAGTCATCATTAAAACACTTAATAAAATGGGTATAGAAAGAAAGTACCTCAACATAATAAAGGCCATATAAGACAAACCCTCAGCTAATATCACACTTAATGGTAAAACACTGAAGTTTTTCCTCTAAGATCAGGTAAAAGACAAGGATTGCCCTCTGTTACCCCTGTTATTTAACATAGTACTGGAAGTCCTAGCTAGAGTACTCAGGCAAGAGAAAGAAATCAAAGGCATCCAAATTAGGAATGAAGAAGTCAAACTGTGACCTTTTGCAGATGACATGATTCTTTACATAGAAACCCCTAAATGCTCCACCAAAAAAATATTAGAAACAATAAACACAGTAAAGTTGCAGGATACGAAATCATTGTACAAAATCTACTGCATTCCTATATACTAATAATGAAATTTCAGAAAAAGAAATGAAAAAAAGAATTCCATTTGCAATTGCAACAAAAAGATTAAAATACCTAGGAATAAAACTTACCAAAGGATGTGAAGAACCTATACATGAAAACTAAATGACATTATTTAAAAAAATTGAAGATGACACAAAAAAAATGGAAAGCTATCCCGTGTTCATTAATCAGGAGAACCAACATAGTTAAAATGGCCATATGACCCCAAAGCAATAGATTTAATGCAATCCCCATCAAAATCCCAATTAAATTTTTTAAAGGAATAGAAAAAAATCATGTTTTATGGAATAACAAAAGATCTGGAATAGTCAAAGCAATCCAGAGAAAAAAGATTAAGGCCGGCGGTATCACACTCCCTGACTTCAAATTAAACTACAAAGTGACAATAATCATAACAGCATGGTATTTTCAGAAAAAGAGACACACAGACAGATAAAAAGAATTGAAAACCCCGAAATAAACCCACATACATATGGGCAGATAATTTTCGACAAAGGAGCCAAAAACATACAGTGGAGAAAAGAAAGCCTCTTCAATAAATGGTGCTGGAAAAATTGGAAAGCCACATGTTTAAAAGAATAAAACTAGACTGCTGTCACCACACACAAAAATTAACTCAAAATGGATCAAGAACCTAAACATAAAACCTGAAACAATACATAGCATAAAAGAAAGCACAGGTACTAAACTTATGGACCTTGGGTTCAGAGAGGATTTTATGAATTTGACCTCAAAGTCAAGGGACGTAAAAGCTAAAATGAATGAATGGGACTATATCAAACTAAACACATTCTGCACAGCAATAGAAACCATCAACAAAACAAAGAGGCAACCAACCAAATGGGGGAAGATATTTATAAACACCACCTCCGGTAAAAGGCTAATATCAAAAATATATAAAGAACTCATACAACTCAACAACAAAAAAAACAAACAATCCAATTAAAAAATGGTCAGAAGACATGAATAGACACTTCTCCCAAGAGGACATACAAACGGCCAACAGATTTATGAAAAAATGCTCAACTTCACTAGCTATTAAAGAAATGCAATTCAAAACCACAATGAGATACCACCTCACACCTGTTAGAATGGCTATCACCACCAAGACAGTAAGTGTTGAAGAGGTTGCCGAGAAAAAAGAACCCTCATACAATGCTGGTGGGAATGTAAATTGGTACAGCCAACTTTGGAAAACAGTGTGGGGATTCCTCAAAAAATTAAGAATAGAATTACCATATGACCCAGCATTCCCTCCTCTCGGTATCTACCCAAACAATCTGAAAACATTTATCCGTAAAGATGTGTACCCCAATGTTCACTGCAGCTTTATTCATGGTGGCCAAAACATGAGAACAACCCAAGTGTCCTTTGATAGATGACTGGATAAAGAAGATATGGTACATATGTACAACGAAATATTACTCGGCCATAAGAAAAGATGAAATACTGCCATTTACAACAACATAGATGGATCTTGAGATTATCATGCTAAGCACAGTAAATCGGACAGAAAAAGTCGAGAACCATATGATTTCTCTCATATGTGGGATATAAAACTGAAAGCAATACATGAACAAGACAAAAACTCATAGACACAGACAAGATTTAGCAGTTACCAGAGGGAAAGGGGGGAAAGCAGAGGTAGTAAAGGGGGTCAAATACTGGGTTGTCAGAAAAGTCATGACGTATTCTTTGTTTTTCGTTGCAAAAATGCATCATGACTTTTCCAACAACCCAATATATGGTGATGAAAGGAAAACTGAATGGGTTGTGAACACAATGCAATATAGAGGTGATATATTACAGAGCTGTACAATTGAAACATATCATTTTATTAACCAATGTCACTGCCAATAAATTTTTAAAAATGTAAAAAAACATATTGTAGCTGTGGGTGTTATAAATCAGGCAGAAGGGCAGATTTGGCCCTTAGGCCATAGTTTACCGAACCCATCTACAGTTGAATAATCTGTCCCCTTAGCTAAGCCCAAACCATCCACTTGTGGACTAGATCCCATCTTCTCTCACATGCTCAAGAACATCGCTGTAGCATTTCTACCTTGTTTTCTATCACCAATTCTCTCTCAGACCATTCGCATCAGTATACAAACAAGCTATTATTTATCCCACCTTAAATAGCAAAAACTTCTTTAGACCCACTTATTCTTCCTACTACTGCCCCATTTCTCTCCTCTTTGTAGTAAAACCCCTCCCCTTATCCCAGAAAATTCTCTTTTAAACCCATTCTCATTAGGATTTCACCCATATTACTAGTCCACTTAGTCCAACCATTGTTCTTACTGATCAATGAAAACATATTGTAAACTCAATGCTCAATTCTCAGTGCTCATCTAATTTAACCTATTTCAGCTGAATCTGATAGAGCTGACTGGTCACTTCTCACTGACACCCTTTCTTTTTGTGGCTTCTAAGACAACTTAGTTTCCTGTTTTTATTCCTACCTCACTGGCTATTTCCCCTTGGTCTCCTCTGTGACCTTGTTTCCCTCGCCTCTTAATGCTGGAGCACCCCAGTGCTTAGTCTTTGGTCCATCTACTCGCTCTACATCCATTCCTTTGATGATCACATTTATTCAGATTCATGAGTTTAAAACCATCCACACATTGAAGTTTCTCAAAAACATGTCTCAAATGGACCTCCTTCCCTAAACTCCAGGTGAATCATGGTGGTAACAGTAAACATTGTGAGAAAGCAAGGCATAGTTGGGAGTAGATTTTGAAAGCAGGGCTAGTTGAATTTATTAAGATTGGAAACTAGCATGAGGAAACAAAGAAGCAAGGGGGAACAATGTCTACATTACTTTAGTGTCTATTATAGTCCTCATTTCAAGGAACCCTAGATTTATGCCCTTTTCTCAGAAAACTTCTTTTATTTTAAATAAAACATATCAGACCTTCTTCCTCTATGAATACAAAGTCTCTCTGGAAAAATTCTTTTACGTGCCATCCATGAGAGCAGAGAACCTATCTGTACTCTCAGCATCTAGAGCAGCGGTTCTCAACCTTCCTAATGCCGCGACCCCTTAATACAGTTCCTCATGTTGTGGTGACCCCCCCAACCATAAAATTATTTT